GATCATGATTAGTATTCATTTTTCTTTATTAGCACTAGAAGCCTCAGTTTTCCTTCCTATTGAGGTATATGCATATCGCATTTTCATTCTGATTATGCAGCCGCAACATCGTTTATCTTTATCTATCATATTTTCCTTCTTTTTAGTGGTAGAGTATAGTGTCAAAACGAACGATTTATTTTTCTTTGTTTAGGCAATGCTCATGGACCAATAGGCTTGCCTTTCCATACTGGATATAACAGGACAAACATACTGCCTCCAGGTTTAAACAAATATAATTCTCCAATTATTCTCCTTCTATTCAATTGTTTATAACGGTACAAATCCAACTAGGAATCTGTCAAATTTGGCAAACAAATATTACAGTTATCACTGGTTAAAAGTGTATTGATTAGTCAGGAAAACAATGCTCTGTGGTCAATTGAAGCCTAAGATAAAAAGAATCCAATGGACCAAGAGATCAACGCACCAATGGCAGACCGACATTGAAGGTTTACCCTTAGCTATTCCCCTCGCCACCATGGGATTGCAGAACCGATGACGGGTTTTTTTGTTCAAGGTCAGCTACTGCTTCTGGTCCACACAATCTTGTTAATTCTTCCTGTTATTCACAGCAAAAGCAGGTGTTATTGTGACAGAAGATCAAAATATTTGCTATTCAATGGTGGAAGCAATTGATTCGGCCCTATTCCTATGAGAAAAACATGCATTAATTAAAACGAAAGAAGGGACTGTCGTAACATACCTTAATGGAATTATTTTCTGACATAAGCTTCTCACATTTTTCAGAAAGGCTATGTAACTCGTCTCTAAGGTTGCGATTATCATTGGTCAGGTTCTCCACTTTGACTTGTAGCTCTTCACATTCCGCCTGATTGAAACGAAAAATGCAAGCCATATGTATAAGAACTCAACCGAATTCAAAACTTGAACCATGTCTACATACCATAATTATGTTCCTTATTTTCATATGAAACTAATGAGATATGTAACCAAAAAGGTATTAGTTGTAGCTACTATTTATTCTCTTTTATTTTTTAACCTTTGTTAATTAGGGGATTAAAGTCAGTAACATTTAGGGGCAAGATAAGATCCTGAACCCTTTTCTATAATATGATATGGTTGTAATCAATGCATGGCGGATGTTGATAGACTTGAATAAACGGGTTCTAATGAGATTAAAAAAAAAAAAAGGGTACCATTTTACCTGCTTGCGCAATCTTGATCTTCTAGCTGACTCCCTATTAGACTGCTTCCTTTTTTGTCGTTTCAACTCCCGCTCATCCTGCAAGAATATAGCTGCAATTCGATAAAACAGAAGACTACAGTATATCTACGTAGCACCCAGAAGGTTCTAGGTCAGTTGCTGCTGCTAACAAATTAACATGCAGAATGCAAATTGAAACCTACTGACAAGAAATTTTGATTACAAGAACACATTCAAACAGGCACTATAATAAATAAATTGATAGACACAATGCTCATACTTGAATCCACTGCTCTGGCATTCCAGGAGCAACTGTAGATGCAGCACCAGATGAATTGGGTCTTATCGTTGCAGCTCCTGCTGCAGCAGGGGATGCACTCCATATGTCCATCCCAATATTTAGAGTAGTTACAGGAATGGAGGCAATAGGTTTCCCAGGCACTAAGCTTTGAACTGCCCCAGCCGTGTTATTATGTGCACTGGCTGGTAAAAATGCTAAAAAATTAGAAAATTGTCACATATAGTGAATAAAAAGACAAAAAGTCCATCCTGAGAATATATTAAAATTATATTAACCACCAAGCATTTTAACCCAAACACACACACATTCTCTCGTGATTTAGCCATGACATAGATTGGATTCTTTTGAAATCCACTGGACTTGCAATTTAAGGCAAAAAAAGTATTCTCAATATAAGCTTTTTTCACTGTTCAGATGCAAAAGGTAAAAAATTCTTAAAAAGTAAAACCTTTTCAGGTTAAATGATGATTGGTTGATTATTCATTTTCAATTATTTTGTTGGGTTGAGTTTGAAAATTAAAAAAATTAGGAAATCAAGAAGGGAGGCTCAATGGTTTGGCATGTGAGATGAATCCATGGTGCAGTAGAAAAGCGAGAACTTTTACAAAGTGTGTATTTTCCCTATCGTTTGAAAGACCATGTAATTTTCATTAAAAAATGCAAATTTTGTTATGAAGAATGAAAATGAGATGCCGTAAAATATTTCTAGGCTCTATCGAACTCCTTGAAAATTTTGTACCATCATTGAATCATTTTCCAAAAATGACTTAATAGTAAAACAAAGATGCACAATCTGATGCTGATTTAGTAATTTAATGAAAATGAAAGCAAGAAAAACGAAGCATAAAAAACATTTATGTACCATCCGCAAGCATCTGGTCCATGCTTCCCCTTTTACCAGCAGCACGTTCCTAAGGAAAAATTGGACAAGAATTTATTAAAGATGCCATCCATTCTATTAGGTATAGCATGCTACATCCAGCCCACACCATCAGGTTGATACAAGTACTTAAAATTTCATATTCAGCACCACTACATTAAAGATGAATCGATCACTATTGATTAAGTACGTACCTGCTGATTGGTGTTTTCATCGCTTCCATCTGATGTACCCTCGCTACCACTTTCACCACTGTTTATGAAGCAATTAAAATAAGAAAATAGTGCATGCTAATGGCAGAAAAAGCTCAAACCAAAATCAGCTAAGAGACTTGAATGCTAAAAACGTAATAGAGAATTGAAATGAAACACCAAGATTTAAACTATCAGACCTTTGGGAAACACCATCATTTCCAGAACCTGAGGCTGCTTTTGCACTATCTCCAACCTTGCCTCCATTAGTTCCCTTGGGTTTTTTTGTTGAACCTCGGTCCTTCCCATCAGCATTCTTCCCTTCAACATCTGCATTAGTCTGTGCTGTACTTGGTGTCTGTAAAGAAATTTGAAAGGAAAATTTATAAAACTAGGTATAGGTATTAATGAAATGAACAAGTAAAAAATGGAATATGAATCCACAATACAATTTGTTATGAAATAAAATAAAAGCTATAATTACCGTCACCATACTAGGGTGGGCATAGACTCCTCCTGGAGGATATATAGCTGGGTATGGGACTGGGGTCCCATAAGGTGGAATTAAAGGGTGCTGAAACATTGTGAACAGAAAACATAACTTAAAAGTTATAACCTGTCTCTGACAACATATTTAAAGTTACATGATATATTACAGACTGAATCTCAAAGGAGGGGTATTCACCTGGCTTCCCCACATATAGGGATGGGGAGTTGGAGAAGCAACTGTTGAAGCAAAAAAGGGAGCCGGAGTAGCTCCAGCACCATAATAAGCCTAGAGAAGTGAAGAAGACGGGTAAGCTCTTATGAATGTTAATTGAGGTTGCAATCATCTGAGTATTTTTCAACCAAGTTGAAATATTTAAAAAAGGAAAAACTGAACAGATATTGGTATGAAGTAAACCTGCATAGAGCTTGACCAATCAGGATAAGAAGGGGTTGTAGGTATTTCCTATACAGAGGGTAGAAAGATTAGCAAACTCAACATGCTTGTCAGTTTTAAATGAGTTACCAGGAGGTTCTTTTATTTTCGTTGGATGCATAAGGAACAAACCTGAGTTGAAGCAGCTGCTTTGGAAGGCTTGGCAGGTGTACTCTCTTCTTCTGTCCCCATTATTGCCACTGGAAGGCCTTAATTTCAACAATTTATGATCAAATATACTATATCCTTTGTGAATTTAAGCAGCAGCTGGAAACACCATATCAAAACTATATTTGTTAAAAATCACATGCTTCCTAGGAAAAATATAATAATATCCCCCTATTTTTATCAGCAAATGAAATATTCAGAGCCAAGGAAAAATGTTCAGCTGAGCAAAATTTCCTTGGTTATTACTAAAGCATATTTTCATCTATTCTCATTATAAGCAGACAGAAAGCAATGTCCTCAAACAACAAGAGTCAGACTACCCATTGAAAATAGAACATTCACTTGGACTTGGATGAAAATATTACCATCAGATTAAGATTCTGACTAGAGCTTTAAGTCCATCGAATCTTCATGGTCGATTTTATATCTCTCATTTATCTTTCTCAAACAAAAATCATAAAATAAAATTTACTGAGTCAATATCAACTGTCTGTCCCATGATATATGCATACCTAAGAACCTTAGCATTAGAATATTTATCATCAAGACTTCAAATTGGAAACAAAATAACTCAACCAAGCAGAGTCATAAATTGCCAAAAGCCGGGGTTTACCAGGCAAACTAATCTCACTATTAAATAAACAGCAAAACCTCTTTCATGTGACAACCAGCAAGAAATCGTCCTCTACTCAGAAACTATTACCCACATTAATGAAAGCATTGCAGCTGTCCATGATGTAGGGATTATCATGAGCTAAGTGGCAAACTATTGTGCTCAAGCACAGCAAAATGTAGCACGCTGTTGGCAGGCAGAAACGAATTTTATAGATGCCAACAGCTAACCTTCCATAGTTTACTACATCTAGATAGAAATGGTTAATTAAATCAGCAATGCTACAGATACAATGATTTTAAGCCCCATGCTTTGTACAACATGACATACCATTAAACAACTGAATGCATACTAATTCACGCGCTACCCCCTTAAATTGTATATTCTAATCTAAAATCATCTGATTTACTTCCAAAAACAAATAGATTCCTTTCCCTCCTTGAAAAAACCCCATATCCTGAAAGCACAAGAAATATCTTTTCTTTCTTTATTTCTTTAGGGAGCGAAGAAGGAAGGAAGGAAGGAGTATGTTGGAAGCATAAAAAACAAATCTTAATCATACATGTAAGAGAAAAAAAGCCAGCAACTACAGCTTACTTAATTACACATGTAGCTCTAACCATACAGAACTCAATAAATGAAACAACAAAATCCAAATATAAAACACACATGCAAGGCATTAGAGATCCCAGAAACTAATTTGTAAATAAAATAAAGGAAAATAACTGGGAAATTGATGATAAAAAATCTGATAAAGAAGTTAAAAAAAAAAAAGGGGACGGGGAGAGAGAGAGAGAGAGAGAGGGAGGGAGGGACCTGTTCTGTTGACTGTTGTGATGAAGGAGTGGTTGAAGGGTGAGGTGGAAGTCAAAGTGGGGGAGACAGGGTAAAGGGAAAGTGGTGACACTGGGGGGAATGAAATTTTCAATTGATTATTGGGAAGGGGTGAGTTACAGTATACTACTGGAAGAGAAAGATGGAAGAAGAAGAAGAGGGGTTAGGGTTTCGCAGGAGACACGTGCTAGTGGGGAAGAAGGAAGGAGGAAGAGGAAGACAGCAGGGCATATCTTACTGGATTAGGTTATGACATATTGACATATGATATGACTCATCGCCGTGACAGGGAATTAGTGGCATTTCAATTTCACTTCCTTTTTGGATTCATTGGATAATGTTTGGCACGATGGAAATAAATGGAGTAAAGATGAATTTTTTTATTAATTAATATATAT